TTATTGGACCATCATTTTACAACTCAATAACTAATGGCCCATATAATTTTAATAAACTCCAACCTCATTTAAGACTCGTACTTTCTTTCTTTCTGAAGACATTCTCTCATAATCTATTCTTTCCACCAACCCAAACCTCGATCTACTCGTGATTCTCTGCCCGCATCAGATATGATCATATAAGAAAATATTAAACTTAACCAAGAAACTCAAACAAAGATAGATACAAACAGATATGATCGTACCGAAAAACCAACCACAAAAGGAGATCAAGCTATTGAAATACCACCGACAAACTGTAAATCAGACCCGAGCGACGTGAATAGCTATCCACAAACGCAAATGGAGTATCCAAATCCAATCCGAGGGTCTAAAGCAGGGATGATCAACAAGATATCAGACAAACGTCATCTTGATCAGTCGTTACGATATCAAATTAACCCTTAGAAAAAAGATAAATGAATAAACAACCAAGGAACCAAAAAACATGTCAAAAAGCATAAGAAAATATGTCATAAAGGCAGATGAAAACATGCAATACATGCAAACTTATTGAAAATAAAAAAATAAAAGAAAATAAAGATATGATATAAAGAAGAGAAAGACAATAAAGAATATCGACGGTTGACAACAAATATTAAAATTGGTGCGACAAAAAATTATAAATTCTTTCATAAATTATGATATTTTCACACATGTATGACATAGAATTATAAAATCAAGAGACGTTCATCTGTTATCTGAGGGTCAAAAGAGATGGATTTATTGCTAGAAGGGGGTGTGAACAAAATCTAAAACAATTGAATCTAACAACTAATTTCTTGTATTAGAATGATAGAATCAAAGAGTTCAAAAGAGGATTTGATGTTTTGAAGAGGGAAATACACCAATAAAGCTCAGGAGAATAATAGGTGATGTTAGGCTTTGATTTCTATCGCAAATACCCCTAGAATAAGACTAAATGATAAAGTTATACGGCCAATAGATATAATAGACTTTTGGGTAAACTACACATTTAGTACCTAATTATTATTTTTAATCTGTTTTAATACCTAAACTTTTTAATTCTTTTCAAAACCATGCCTAATGTTTAGTTTTTGTTTTATTTTAGTACACACCGTTAAAAACTTAACACGTTTAGTATCTAAACTATCAGTTTTGATCCGTTTTAGTACCTAAACTTTCAATTTTTTCCAATTTAACGTTAAATTTTGAATGAGATACTAAAATTAAATAAAAACTAAACTGGTTTTAAAAAAATTGAAAATTTAGGTAATAAAACAGATCGAAACTAATAATTTATATATTAAACACGTAATTTAACCCTAGATTTTTTTCCTATTTTCTCTTTATTTTCATATCACATCTTTAAATTTTCTTTAGCCTTTTTAGTTTTTGATAACTTTGTCTAACATGTTTTCATCTATCTTTATGACATGTTTTTCTTTATTTTTTGGCACGTTTTCGATCATTTGACTATTTTTTTATCATTTTTATCAAGGTTAGATTTGATATAGTCACGACAGATTAATATGGTGCTTCATTGTTATCATTATGATATTTCCGGCTTTTGACTATCTGATTGAATTTGGATATACGATTTAAGTTCATTGATAGTTTTCTCACGTCGCTCGACTCTGGTTAGCGGTTTGGGTGGTCTTTCAATAGTTTGACCGATTTTGTGGTTCGTTTGTCAATACGATCAGATCTATTTGTATCTAATTTTCGTTCGAGTTTATTTGACTATATTTTTTAAACTTTTTTTATATGGTTCTTGTATGATCTTAAGTAGGTAATTTCTTGCGTTAGTAATAATAGAAAAAATGTCATATTATATATTTTGTTCACGATTATAATTATAAACCTTCGTTATAATTACAAATATTTCTTATTTTCAATAAATAACTGTTTTTATTAGTAAAAAAAATTATTTATATAAAATCCATAAATTTGATTAATCCGACCATTGATATAAAATGGATAATCAATTGACTTAGTATGTTTTTAACCGAAGACTTTCAACTTATATAAATTCAAAATCAAATTGATCAAATTATTTTGTTCGGAAAAGGTAAGATAACCGATGAGTTTACTGGAGCAGGAGCAATTGGTCAGGTTTGTCAAGTGATCGGTTCCGTCGTTGATGTCAGATTCGATGAAGGTTTACCACCTATTTTGACGGCGCTTGAGGTGGTGATCACTCGACCCGGCTTGTGCTGGAAGTAGCTCAGCATTTGGGTGAAAACATGGTTAGGACCATTGCTATGGATGGAACGGAGGGACTTAATAGAGGGCAGCCTGTCCTCAATACCGGATCTCCGATCACTGTAACTTTCCTCTTCCCTTTTCTGTGTTCTATTTTTATTAGAAATAAGATAATGTCGGAACTTGGAACTTGGAGATGCAGTGTAGTTAATATGAGTATCTGATTAGATTTTGGATATGAGTTATGTTGTGGAATTAGTGATATTTTTTTTGTCAAACAAGCTATAGATTGACTTTTTCAGTGATTTTCTACAATTGTTAGGCTTATACTTGAAATCCATTAATTTATTCTTCAGTTTGCTACTAAGCTTTTTACCATTTTCACTTGTCTACCATATCATATTTTTGGGCTTGAATTTCGCTCTAAGTTCTTAATATTTTTTCTTGCTCTCTTCAGGTGCCTGTTGGGAGAGCTACTCTTGGTCGAATCATAAATGTTATCGGAGAGCCTATTGATGAGAAAGGCGAACTCAGTAAGAGATTTGTCATCATTATAATAGTTTGAACATTGTATTGTATATTTCTATGCTGGTGCAGAAGTCTAATTGGCTGTTTATTTTTTAATAGAAACCCATCGCTACTTGCCTATTCACAGAGAGGCACCAGCTTTTGTCGACCAAGCTACTGAACAACAGATCCTTGTCACTGGCATTAAGGTACTAATTATCGCTTGGAATTTTGTATCTCTTTGACGCCTGTTATTTTCTCTATTTTTTCCTCTTTCTAATGGAAAATGTTGTGCTGTTTGAATCTGGATGAGATTATGTCAGTCAAAACATTTTTCTTGTTTTATTTTGCAGGTTGTTGACCTTCTTGCCCCATATCAAAGAGGAGGAAAGAGTGGGCTTTTTGGTGGTGCTGGTGTAGGAAAGGCAGTGCTTATTATGGAACTTATCAACAATGTTGACAAGCAGGTAAATACAAGGTGTCTTGTTAATCCTGTCCAGATTTCTGTATTTTGTTGTATCTTATCCTTGTGGTTTTTCGCTCTTGTATTATTCCAGGCCGAAAGCAAGTGCGCTCTTGTCTATGGTCAAATGAATGAGCCACCTGGTGCCCGTGCTCGTGTTGGCCTTACTGGTTTGACTGTGGCTGAACACTTTCGAGATGCTGAAGGACAGGATGTTCTTCTCTTTATTGACAACATTTTCCGTTTTACTCAAGTGAGTTGGCTTATTGCGGAAGCTTTTGAAACACTTCATGACACATGTTATATGTTGCTGATGGCTTGAATTGTGTGTGTACTTTTTATTTTGCAAGGCGAACGCAGAAGTGTCTGCTTTGCTTGGTTGAATTCCATCTGGACCAACCATGGCTACTGATCTTGGAGGCCTTCAAGAACGTATCACCACCACCAAGAAAGGTTCTATCACGTCTGTGCAGGCCATCTATGTGCCTGCTGATAACTTGACTGATCCAGCTCCTGCAACAACCTTTGCTTACTTGGATGCGACAACTGTGTTTTCCCGGCAGGTATTGTACATATATATACATGTGTTTTTGGAGGTGCTCTATATGATTTTACTTCATGATTACCTGTGCTTCTCTGTTCATAACACTTTGTTTATTTTATCAGATCTCTGAACTTGGTATTTACCCAACTGTTGATCCTTTGGGTTCTACATCTCGTATGCTGTCTCATATTTTGGGTGAGGAACACTACAATACTGCACGTGGTGTGCAGAAGGTTCTCCAAAACTACAAAAACTTGCAAGATATCATTTCCATTTTGGGAATGGATGAGCTCAGTGAAGTCGATAAATTAACTATTTCTCGTGCTCGTAAGATCCAAAGGTTCTTGAGCCAGCCATTCCACGTAGCAGAAATGTTCACTGGTGCTCCTGGCAAGTACGTGGAGTTGAAAGAGAGTATTACCAGCTTCCAGGTATCAGTTTTTATTTTTCTGCTGGGCTTCTATTATGGACCATATGGTGTGTTATGGCATGCATCACAAAGTGATTAGTTACTTATAATGGGTGGATCCACTTTTTATATCCACCTTGATTAATGTAAGTTTAGCAGTTAAGAGTCTTTTGAACTCATAAGGAGATGCTATAATGAAGTGGCCCAATTATGAGACACACGTCTAATACTGGCTTTCAAGTTATAGAGCAAATAAAGGCCTTGTAATTACTTGGTTGTGGTGGGTTGACAGATAATGTGAATCTGGACAATTGGATGTCTGTTTTCTTTATATAGATATTCAGACCAACATTTTAATAAGAATCAATTGACAAGAAGGATGCTAATAATTGGTTAAAACATATCTTGGTCAACAAAATCTATCTGATTATGCTACCGGCCACTATGTGCATAATTTAGTGGTTGATGATATATGCATTGTGCGCATCAGCATTGGTGGTATTTTAGTTGTATATTGTGTGGTATTAATAGCACTAATTCTGAATAATCATGATGATTGTTACAGGGTGTGTTGGATGGAAAGTATGATGATCTTCCAGAGCAATCATTCTACATGGTTGGAGGAATAGAGGAGGTGCTTGCTAAGGCAAGACAAGATTGCCAAGGAATCCGCAGCCTAAGTACATCCCTACATCGATTATGTTGATACCTTCGTTTTATGTTACGATGACGAAAATATGTTTATCAATAGAAAATACAATAATTTTTTTTTAAATATATAAAAATTTAAAATTTTCGGGAAACCATCTTGTCAATCCCTCCGGTCCATCTATGTGTAGAGTTGATCACATGCTATTGTCTTAATTAATCATTATGATGAAAACCAAATCCATTGACAACCCAAGGACGCTAGTAGTTGCAGTACTCTTGATTATTTCTGTTGGCGGTTATTTAAAGAAAGTAACTTGACGATGAACTCAAATCAAACGCGGTGGTTTCCGCCTCAGAGTTCAAGCCTATAAAGGTTCCACTCGCCCCCGAGTCAAATCCGTACGCAGTTTGATCCGAGAACCCGAAAAACCCTGTTTCATTCCAACTTCCACAGCTCATATCAAATCCGGATGAGACATCCGGAGGCAAAGGTGGAAGCTCGGAATCATGGCCGAACTGCCTTGAACCACCGTCTCCGACATCCATGATGCCGGTGATGGGCCTGTAAGAATCGACTGTGCCATTGCTAGTCTCTTGGATCCACCCGGAAGAGAACTGGCACGCAGTGAAAGGGTCTTGAGTAGAGAAGAAAAGCTGCTTCTGGTTCCCATCGTTTTGGAAAGGTGGAATATCAATGGAGAAAAAGTCGTGGTGTGATTCATCGGGGGAGACTATGGAGGTGACGGATGAACCGAAGGGCATGTCGGGATAAACGAAGTTGGTTCGAGCCTTGGAGCCGCGCATGGACCGAGCGGCACGGTCATAGGCCAAGGCAGCTTCCTCGGCCGTGTCGAATGTGCCAAGCCAATGCCTTTCTTTAGTGGAAGGATCTCTTATCTCGGCTGCGTATCGACCCCATGGCCGCCTCCTTACTCCCAAGAACCTCGTTCCTTGCTCCTGCTGCTGCTGCTGCCTCTTTCTGCTTTTGGAAGAAGAAGGCGAATTGGTCTTTAAGCTGTTCGAATCCATCAACATAAAGTGTTCGTCTTTATAAATTTTTCCTCGTTTTAGACAGACACAGATAGTTAACCTCTTATATACTATCCAAAAAACATCCAGCACGACATAAACTCGAAACATAAATCATAAAATCTACATAACAACAACAAAAAAGGTTTGGCATGCTTGCTAATGATCCTAGTGTGGGCCATTGGTTCCGATAGAACCCTCATAAACTCGCATGATCGAGTTGCTTTTCATTACGAGTCACTCAAAACAATCACTTTCCAATGCGTTGATTAAATGTGAGTATTCAATCAAATTGAGTCAAGTCGAAATATTTTAAGTTAGTTGAGTTTCTGTTTAAATTTACATATATAGGATGATTATTAGGTAGTACCTTTCCAAAACTTTCTTAACCTAGTGTGAGCATATATTGATGCTCGAACCCATACCTCTAGGGAGAACAATTTTCCTTTTTACTAGTAAGGTCACTTGACGAGTCTAATTGTAAATATTTATAATGTTATAATACTAGTTAAATCTAATTTAAATAATTTTTTTATAATTATATACGATATACATATATTTGTTTTCATATACGATATACACATATTATGGAGAACCGAAAGATTCAAATCAATTTTTTTTTTTAAAATCTACTGATTAGTGATTACTAAAAACTTTAAATTATTTAAGTACTATTTTATAATTTAAACTTTATTTTTATTCATTCCTACTAATAATAGTACTGTGATGTTAGATAATGCTTCACCATAGGTGATCATACAGCATTCATAGGATTATTCAGGTGATTTGAATACCGATCATTAGAACAACTCATCACTGATCATTCCATCATAACCGTTGGGCCACAAGATTAAACTTTCTGATGATTTCTCCACTCTGCAGGAGCCTACCGAGAAAGTGCAATCATGGGCTCATCAGCAGATAATAATATATACATACATTTCCATGATTCATAATTTAGGGATCGGCATGAAACTCGAACTAGACGGATTCTAATTCCATCTAATTTGATTGAGTCAGCTTTTTTGAAATAAATTTTGAGTTTGAGTCAGATCGAATATTTTAGAGATTATATTCGAGTCGGGTCGGATTCAGGTTTAAGGTAAAAAATATCGGCCTGATTTAACCCAGAAAAAATTATAATTTTATTTTATATATTTAGAAATAAATCTTATAATAGTCTTCTATATATATTTTAATTAAATTCTTATTTTTATTAAATAAAAAAAATATTTTAATAAATATATTATTTCAGATAATGTTGAATTCGAATTTTATTTCGAAAAAGTATATCGAATTTAAGTCGATTGGATAATATATATATTTTTTGTCAGATCATATAGATGGAAAATTCGACACGACCACTGTCCATCTATGATTGACATGTGCTCCGTTGATGAACTTTCTGTTGTAATATGTTTTTTAACAAACCATGGACTAACCTGCACCATATGATTGCCTACTGCATGATTATCTTTCCCATCATCATTTACTTGTCAGTAACCATCATTTTCCAACATGTACATCCTTAACCGACCATTTCATCTTTCGGTCTACTTACAATTCAAGCTCCAAAAAAACCTTTTTTTCTCCTCTTTATTAATGACGTAAATTAATTGGATTCGAACAAATAAAATTGTGTTCGTATCTATTTGTTTATTATTAAAGATATTCATGTTTGGTTCGTTTAAAATTGTAATATTATTTTCATTTGTTTATTTTCTAAGATATTTGTATTCGGTTCGTTTAATGTTTGCAAACGAATAATTATGAACATATTCGTTAAATGTGACTATGTTCATTTATAGATTCGCTAATATGTTCGTTTAGCGTTTTCGAACATGTTCGTTATGCACTCTTTTTATCCTTTTATTCGCAAGTCAAAGAAAAATGATGAAATTATATCACTAGTCCTTAAGATATTTAGGTTTCACAATTTGAACTCCAAATTTCACTCCATATCCAATTTTAGTCCTTATTTTCACCATATTTAAAATATAAAAAAAGGAGAATAGGATAAACAAACTTAGGTGGTGTTTGTTTTTACAGAGGTAAAAGGTCTGCAGTCTGCGGACCACATCTGTAGCAGAAGAGGTGGACCAAAAGTATACAAGAAGAAGACTGTTTGTTTTTTAACGTCTGCAGACTGCTAAAATAAACTGAAATATAAATAAACTGATTTTTTAAACTTAAAAAAGTTTTGCAATACTGAAATTTAAATAATTTTAGTTTTATAAACTGAAATTTAAATAATCCATACAACTACAATAATAAATTTTTTAAAATAAATCAATCTATATTTTAAAATAAAATTTTCCATATTTTAAAATAAATCAATCCATATTTTAAAATAAAATTTTCCATATTTTAAAATAAATCAATCCATATTTTAAAATAAATCAATCCATATTTTAAAATATATTTTTCCATATTTTAAAATAAATCAATCTATATTTTAAAATATTTTTTCCATATTTTAAAATAAATCAATCCATATTTTAAAATAAATCAATCCATATTTTAAAATAAAATTTTCCATATTTTAAAATAAATCAATCCATATTTTAAAATAAATCAATCCATATTTTAAAATAAAATTTTTCATATTTTAAAATAAATCAATTCATATTTTAAAATAAATCAATCCATATTTTAAAATAAATCAATTCATATTTTAAAATAAAATTTTAAAATAGATTTAAATAATTTTAATTTCTTTGAAGACGTTTGAAGACATAAAACCATGTCTGCACCAAGAAGACCTCGCGTAGACGTTAGAAGAGCTTTTGTCTTCTAAAAAACCAACGGTCTGCGAAGCTCAATGTTTGCGCGTGGTCTGCGCGGCGCAGACATAAGAGCTTTGCAGACCTTACACAGTAAAAACAAACACCACCTTATAAACACGTCAAAAAAGAGTTTGTTCGTGAACATAAACGAACCAAACACACATCTATTAATGTTCGTTCGTTTATTAAATGATCATAAAAAATTTATTTATTTTCATTTATTTTACTTGATAAACGAACATTGTATAAATAATTTACAAACTATCCACTAAACGTTCAGTTCATTTACACCTATTTCTAACACAAACCAACAATATATATATATATAAGTATGCTCCTACATTGAAATGGTCATGTCGCCCTAGACTTATGAATATGCAGAGGCTTTTTACGTGGAATATATATATATATATAAATCAAAGCCATGTGCATCCGATTTAACCTGAAAATATAATGATAAGTTCCGCAATCTTTCTCTGCCTTTGAATATAAAATTGGTGCCTTTTTCTATCTTTTTTAGAATGCCTAATTTTATAAGTGAAGCTTGGGATGAGTATGACTGAGTGGATCGAATGAAGGCATGTTGGGTTGCATGTGAGGGAAGGACCTTTTTGAACAAAACAATTCACTAGGATGACCTACTTACTACCTATTAATTAATTTAAATCACTAAAACAATGATTAATTAATTATGTAGATGGCATGCTTTTGAAAGGGACCCACACACACATACTATATATATATATGACTGAGATTAATAGTATGATTGTTGGATGAGTGAAAATAGATGACTGAGATTAATTGTAGGAGATGAGAAAATATTCACTGGGAAAAAAGAAGTCAATCACAACCATCTATTTTCACTCATAAAACGGTCTTAAATATGTGTAAAACTAAAGAGTTTTACATAGTGTAAGATGATTTGTCTCATATATATATATATAATGTAAAACTCTTTTAGCTTTACACAAATTTAGGATCATTTTATAACATAAAACAGATGGCTCAGATTAAAAGTAGAAAATATGAAGATATTTACTGGAGAAAAATAAGGAATCAATCTCAGCCATCTATTTTAACTCATCCAACTATTCTAAATCTATGTAAAACTACAGAGTTATATATATATATATATATATATATATATATATAATTTTTCTAATACAATGTTTAAATTAACTCAACTCTAATCCATCCATAAATCAAAGGATAATATAGGTGTTCAAACTCAAATAATGCATGCATTTTATCACTAACAATGTGGGTGAGTATAAATACTTTATTGTTAAATATATATATATATATTTATTAACAAATAAATAGAGATGTAGCGGTGATAGATTTGTATATGAGTTCATAAGTTTCAATGTTTGAATCCTACGAAGTTTTTTTTTTAATTTAGATATTATTTAAAAGTATGAGAAAGATGAAAACTACTCTTTAAAGGGACAAATTAAAAATATTTAATTAAAAGATCGAAATGAAAAAATAAATTGTTGGATTAAATTAAAAAAATCAATGTTCAAAAGATTAATTTTTTTAATAGAAGCCGTTAGTATTATTAAAAAAAGGAAAATATCTGAAATTACAATAAGAGTTTACAACTATCATCGTAAATTAAATACATAATTTGGAATTTTCCTATAACATTGAAACTAGCTACTTTAGATTATATAAAAATCATACAAGTAAAAGGTTAAAAACTCAATCAAAATGCTCGAACAAAAAATAGATATGAATAAATATAATTTCATTGGCAAACGAACCACAAAATGGATTTAAGCTATTAAAAGACTACCGAGAACTACAAATCAGAGTCGAGCGCTATGAGAAACTATCCACAAACACAATCTATTATTCAAATTCAATTCAAAGGTACATGGCAGGGAAGATCAATAAAATTTCAAATAAGCGTCATCTTGATCAATCGTGGCGTCGTCAAATCTAACCCTAAGAAAACATAAATAAAAGAACGAAAAAATCGATCGAGAAAAATGAAAAACGTGCCACAAAGGCATAGATAAATGTGTCACAAATACAAAAATAAAATTGCAATACAGGCAAAATTATCCTTATTTAAAAAATAAAACAAATAAAGAGAAAAGATAACTGTCGGTTGACAATTAGTATCAAAACTGGTGTCACTCACGGTTAAATAAAATTAAAAAATAAAGGAAAGAAAAGTTCATCTAATCTATTAGAATGGATACAAATTCA